CTGAAGGTGGCAGGACTCAGAGCAATAGCTGAAGTCCGAGGTGAAAAGAGTGAAGGGGAAGGGGGAGAGGAGAGTCCCCTGGGGGGCCCCAGTGTTGCTGACCACCCTGTCAGACACACAGTTCTGTAGGCGTACATACTGTGGTCTGCCCATTAGGTAATCAACAATCCAGGACACGATGGGGGCCTCCACCTGCATCGCAGTTATCTTCTCAACTAGTAGAGCCGGGCGGATGGTGTTGAAGGCACTGGAGAAATCAAACATGATTCTCACAGTGCTCGCTGGCTTGTCCAGGTGATTGTAGACTCTGTTCAGCAGGAAGATGATGCTGTCCTCAACTCCCAGGCGGGGCTGGTAGGCGAACTGCAGTGGATCAGTGAAGGGCCTGACCATGGGCCTTTGCTGCTCCAGGACTAGCCTCTCAAAGGTCTTCATAATATGGGAAGTCAGTTCCACCGGTCTGTAGTCCTGAGGGTCGCTAGGACGTGGGGTTTTTGGCACAGGAACGAGGCAGGACGTCTTCCACAGCACGGGTACTCTCTGGAGGAGCATGCTCAGGCTGAAGATTAGGCTAAGTATTCCACAAAGCTGATAGGAACAAGCTTTGAGCACCCAGGGGAGTACACCATCGGGGCCCGCAGCTTTGCTGGAGTCGAGTCTGGTTAGCGGTCTTCTCACCAGGTCAGGAGTGAAGGACACTGTAGAGGTAACTGTAGGGGGAGGTCCTTGTGTTGTGGAGGACATGATGTGAAGCAGGGGGGAGGGGTGGAGTCGGTGGATGTGGATTGAGATGGTGAAGAGCAGACGGGGATCAGTAAGGAGAAGGAGTGGGGGAAGGTGGGTGGTTGTTGAAGGGAAGCCAGCAGCAGAGGGTTGTGGGGGATTTGCCAAAGTATCAAACCTATTGAAAAATAGGTTCAGTTCATTGGCCGGTCTACCCACCCTTCCAACCCCACACCAGTGGACTTCTGGAACCCTGTGATGGTTCTCATCCCACTCCATACATCCCTCATGTTGTTGGTCTGGAGTTTATTCTCCAGCTTTCTCCTGTATTTGTCCTTAGCCTCATTGATTTTATGTTTGAGTACCCCCTGCCCTCTCCTCTCCTCCTCACCGTTACCATCTCTGAACGCCCTCTTCTTCTCATTCAGGATGGCCTTTATGTCCTTGGTGATCCATGGTTTATTGTTAGCATAACAGGTGACAGTCCGAGCTGGAACAATGCAGTCCACACAGAAGTTGATATAGACCGTGATGCACTCTGTGAGCCCAATGATGTCCTCCCTGTGGGCCTCACAGGGTGCAGGCCAGTCAGTCACTTCAAACCAGGCCTGCAGTGCCTCATAAGCCTCCTCCGACCACCTCCTCACAGTTCTTGTGGTCGTAGGCTTCCTCTTCACCAGAGGCACATAACAGGGTTTGGGATGAACCAGGTTGTGATCTGACCTGCCCAGAGGAGGGAGAGAAGAGGAGATGTATGCATCTTTAATGTTAGCATACATCAGGTCCAGGGTCTTCTCATCTCTGGTAGGGCAGCTCATATATTGTTTCAAGGTTGCAGAACTTTGTTCATGGTGACATGGTTAAAGTCTCCCGACATGATATTGAGGGCATTAGGATGTTGGGTCTGTAGTTCAGAGATGATATTATGAATGGTGCTGCTGGCAGATGTTGGATTTGAAGACGGAGGGATGTACAGGACAACAGCGATAACATGTGAGATCTCTCTGGGCAGCTGATATGGACGAAGTCCAACGGCCAGCAGTTCAACATCCGGGCAACAGAGCTGTTTTTAATGGTGATGTGACCCGGGTAACGCCTTTGGCTGTTTACTAGAATGGCAAGCCCCCCTCCTTTTACCTTACCACTCACAGAGTCCCGGTCGGCCCAGACGGTATGAAAGCCATCCACGGAGACAATCAGGTCTGTAATGTCTTTGTGCAGCCATGTCTCAGTGAAACACATCAGACTGCACTGATGGGGGTTTGGGAGATCTGCCTTAATTCTCAGTAATTAATTTCTATTCTGCTTATTTCTATAGCGCCAATTCACAACACATGTCACCTGAAGGCACTTTATAGGAATAACTCAACCAGATCCTCCATTCAAACTGAATGAAAGTTTTCGATCTAATGCCGCTCACACTTTGATGATTTAGCCAGCGTATGCCGATGTACAAAGTATGCTGGAATATGGCGGGAAATTTTGAGCGCTCCAAATTTGCCGCCATATGCCAGCGTCTGCCATCCGTGGGCCATCAGTTCCCGGTCAGTTATCTGATGGTTGACATCCGTTCAGTGTCAGTTCCTCATCAGTTGTGGTGTCTAGCTTATCCTAAACCTCTGAGTAACTTGTGCATAACTTCTGCGTAACTTATCCAGAACTTCTCTCCAACGCATATCAAGGTATCTGGCGTGTTCCAGACGAGCGCTGAACGTGTTTCTAACTTCCAGCTACTGTATAATGGCGTATTGGCAGCGTTTTGGTATAAAGGGGGTTCACAGGAGGAAACCATCAGTTCTCCTCCAGACTTCATCCCCATCATAGGGTGAGCCAGAAGGTGAGGGTGATGGATCCTCCCTGCATTCACGCCCACCACCAACAACCTTCCTAGCAGACATGACGCTTGATCTGCTGCCACTAAAAACCTTCTTTACGTCTTTTATTTATTATTTTTATTTATTCTTATATTTTTTGGCGGGCGGTAAACAGCAACTAGGTTAATACCGCGATCAAAGAAATCTTTTTCAGGAGGCCAGGCGCCTCCGGGCGCATCGCTGCCACCCTCAGGACACTGTGCATCTTTTCATGGGCATTACGCTGCCGTGCGTTATGCAGAAGTTAGGCTGTCGTTGGACAGAAGTTCTGGACTCGTTAATAATACTTTATGTTTACACCCAGAATAGAAAAATACATAGAAAGTTCAGTGTATGCCAGCGTTTTGGGAGATTCTGGGACATCAGGCAGATGCTAGATAAATCAGCAAGGTGTGACAGGGGCTTAAGGAAAACCAACTGATTGCATCAACTGATTGACTCTCTAGCAATCACTCTGTAGCTGTAGAAGTTGGAGTTTTCTGTTGCTGTGAGTTGAATGAATTGGGTGTATCATCCCTGGCTGGTGCTGTTACATCGACAGGAAACAGTCTGCAGCAACATAACTTGTTTTAATTGTTTTGTTTTTGTAATTGGTTTATTTACAGTTGGAGGAATTTACACTGTTATCCAGTCTAAGGCTAAAGTCACGGTAGACGAATGGGGGGAGAACTACTTCATGATGGGACCATACTTTGAACACAACTTCAAGACACAAGTGGAAGGCTGTGTTCCACCCAACGCTGCCATCCAGAAGGCGATGGATGCTCTGACCAACAATGGCTGCCAGGTGGGTGTGTCTTCACACAGTACAGTGTCCTTGGGTTGGGCATCTTCAAAGGCAATTTAACTGAAATGTATTACTATTTGGAGTAGTTATGGCAATAAGTATATATATAAAATAAAATTATTTTTTATTTCATAATTGTCAATATAAATAGAAAGAAGATAATTATCTATAAACTTCTGTTTCTTGAAAATATTCTTCAATTGTCTTGTACGTATATATATATATATATATATATATATATATATATATATATA